TTTCCACTAACAATTATATAAATATATACAGATATATATATATATATATATATTTATTTATTTGGAGGTGAATATACATGGATGTTTGCATATGCGTGTAGTTGGATGTGACGAAAGTAAGTTTGTTAGGGTGTTGTTGAGCAGTATTGAGTGTTTGGTTGAGATAGTGAGTGGTGACTGATGAGCGATTGTGCATGAATGTGTGTGTGTGTGTTTGTACGTTTGTGTGTGTGAGGTGAGTTGATGTGGATGGTTGGTGTGAGATGAGACGATGGGTGGCAAGTCGTGGGCTCCGTGGCCTAATGGATAAGGCATCTGACTTCGGATCAGAAGATTGCGGGTTCGAGTCCCGTCGGGGTCGGCTTTTAGTCCCACCATCCTTGTCACCTGTCGACTTTCAATTTGCTCCAATATCATGATGTCCGATTTGTTTGGTAATTATTTATGTTTGCCCAATATTCTGATTGCATTTATTTTTGATGGCCTTTTTTCATGAAAATGATTGTTATTTTATCTTTGTCTTATTATCCTAAAATCTTTGTTCCTTTTTGTCAGCGTCTTGTGTTAATAATTGAACATTTTTAAAGCTACCCTTTAGCACCTTATTTTTATTTGTCTTACGTCCATATCCTCCTACTGTCTCACATTTTGTGTATTATTCTCTATTTGTTCGCTCACTTTTCCTATAGTGCTTCTGTTCTTCGTGTTTCCGTATCTTCTTTTATTGTTATTATTTGTTTGTTGTTTTTGCGTGTTTTATTTAGGATTTTTCCGCTGTCTTTTGTTCATCATGTTTCATCTATTTTTTTTCTTTTTGATTTCTTTGTGGGTTTCTACTTGATTTCGCCATTTAAAATTTTTCTTTTCATTAGTTCTTCTTTTCAATTTCGACTTCTTTTTGGATTGTTTCTTTATTTATTCTTTTTTTCATTTTTTTGCCTTTCACGTTTGTTCTTTCTTTTAGCACATTTTTTGTCATATTTTTATTGTGTCCTCTTTTTTTTCTTTTTTTTTATTCATTTTTCTCGATGTATTCAATATTAGTGTATAATTTTACTTGTCGTACTGTTCACTTGTCTACTATACAATACTGATTTGTTTTATTCATATTTTCACTGTTTGATTTAAAAATAATTGTCTGTTTTTTTCTTGTTCTTATTTGTCTTTATTCATATTCGATACTTTTGTAAGTTTCTGATGAATGATCCTCTCTTCATGTATGACTTATGGTTATTCTATTGTTTGAATACATAAGCTATCAGATTTTATCATTAAATGAACCAATAATTAATTATTAGTGTCAGAATGGGTTTTGTGGATATTATAGTAATTTTAATAGTTGCGATCATGACATTCACGATCCTTCATTGCGAGGTTCGAACCAAGGACCTGTCAGTCTCGGACGTGAGCGCTTAACCATTAGACCATAGAGCCGGTCAGCATCCAACGGTGTTAATGTCTAACTTCAAACAATCCACGAAATCGAGCACCACATTTACCATTGTCTTCAGTGAAGTTAGACATTAACACCGTTGGATGCTGACCGGCTCTGTGGTCTAATGGTTAAGCGCTCACGTCCGAGACTGGCAGGTCCTTGGTTCGAATCCCGCGAGGTTGGATCGTGGATGTGCACTGTTGAGGAGTCCAACAATAGGATGAAATGGCCATCCTGTGCTTCCAGATTTTCCATGGTAGTCTAGCTTCAATTGACTCATGATCTCAACTATTAAAATTACTTAATGTTTAGTTAATTAGTTTTCACTAAAGTTTACTTCAAATATTAGATTCATTTAATTCAGTTAAACTATGACTCCATCTTTTTTTTTCTTAGTTATATGCTTCAGTTGAATTCTAGTGTGAATGAATTTATAGAAGTTTAGAAATGATAAACTATGTGAAAGGAATTGGAAATAATTATTCATCTTAAAAGTTATGACATGGAACTATTAGAATAGTAAAGGTCAATCTATCAAGTGAATAAATTTCACTATTAAGGTCATATTTTATTAAATGACAAGATGTTTCACATTATATTCGTTTGTTGAATAGAATTTTCAAGACTGGGATTCAAAAAAAAAATTCTTATTACAGTTAAATTGGATGTTTGTAGAGTATTGTGAAACTTAAAGATAGTTTATAAACTAAACTGACCTCAACTGGATAACTATAAAGAATAAATTAGAAGTAATAGAGAGTTACTTTATCTTAGTTTAAATTGGGTAATATTGGGAATTGAATGGAATTAGAAATATGGACCAATGAACTCTGACTGAACAGGTTAAAATATTATAGACTTCCTAATATGATATGAAGATCTTAGGCTTAGTTTTTGGTAAAGTTGTAAATGTTTATAGTTGAGATGTTCCAAGATGAATTGAAATGACTACCAATTGTTCTTTGGTTTTTACTGGTTTTATAGTTGAATTCATTTTGTGATACAAACCATCTTACCGATGAATTTAAGTTACGTTATATACAGACATTTATGTGTAGCTGTTAAATAAAAGTTTCAGGTTTCTGTATGTCTTCAAAAATTAACTGTAGAACGCTTACTCAGTGTTGTAACGAGAAAAACTCGCTTTTAACAATGAACATATGCCAATATATCCTTAAATGAATTATAAGGCCATATAAATGATTACACTGAAGTAACATAACCGGATGTAACTTCGGCTAAGATTGTTGTCTGGAACATAATCACTTCAAGTCTGCCTGTTATTACGAAATATTTTGTAAATATTAGAATCCCCTCAACTTTATTGAGATCACAAATCTGTTTAAGTAAAACAACCGTTGAAAACCCAGATGTTCTAGATTTATGCAACACTGGATCACCACTAAATCAGTGATCTAGAGGTTAAAATTCAGGTGTGATACTGAAGTTCCTGTGTTTGACCCTCGGTAGCAGAATGGTGGATGACCATCTATAATTAACCAAAATAGCTATCCACTGTTTCAGAGTTTTCAGTGGTTGTTAAACTTTGATTGGTTAGTGATCTCAATGAAATACAGCAATCTTGACAACCTCAACAGTGAATTCTTAATTTTATTATTTTTTGGACGAATAGTTTGAATTGTGTAGAAACAGTCTTAAAATCAAGCCCCCCCTCTCTAAAATACTAATAAATTGACCAGCAAATATAATCTATTGCTAAATTATATTTTAGGATTATCTATCGAAAAATGGAGCTAAAAATGACTTACTGTGATCGGACCGCAATATACTGTGAATCCCATTCTATTGACATGTCATTTAAACTCACATGGTGTTGTTTTACTTATTTCTTCTCATTGTTATTTACGACTGCGATTGATCAGTCTCATGTTGGCATATATGCATTCTGAGTGGATTGTCTCGATAGAGCCTTAAGTCACAAGCTTTTTAAGCAAAGATGGATGCACATATGCCAACATGAGACTGACCAATTGCAGTCTTAAATAGCAATGGGAAGATGCAAGTAAAACAACACGAAGTGGATTTAAACGTCACCTCATTGCACAAGCAAGTGGCTACTAGAAGTCAGTAGCTAAGTGAATAACACGATGGCGTTTGAAGCGAATGGTACTGGGCTCGAGTCCTAGAGTGAACATCAACTCCAGAATGCAGGTACATCCGGCTGACGAGTCCCAAATGGGACGAAACGCGCGTCTAAACCGGATTCCACTGTTAGCCACTATCCATCATTACTTAAAAAGGTCATTTAGACGTTGAATAATTTCCTTTTGCGGTCAAATTAAATATCCTAATGGGATTCTCTAGCTAAACTGCCTACTTCTACAAATCTAAATTATTATATATAAGTTATAGAGAAGACAATTTAGTGTGGTTTGTACACGTGATCCTAGAGATTATATTGACAAAGTTATGTTGTTAGTATTAGGCATATTTTAGTAGTTAACTTTAGGATATGCAAACAAAAGCTTTTCCTGGATAATGATAAATAATGTTATTGAAATAGAAATATTTAACAAAATATCCAAGATGAATATTATTTATTATTAGTGTGAATGTGAATATAGTCAATTTATGGATCAGTTTAGTTTAGTTAAAATACAAATTGTATGAAATATTCCAGTCATTCAAAATATTTGGAACTTTTAACAATTCTTCAGTTGTAATTCAACGAAGAATTATGATAATGGTATTAAGTTATGAATAGATTATGAATTCTTAACTTCAATCTTATTATTATATATTTTCTGACTTTAATAACACTCAGTTGACTTACATATTATTCATTCTGCTTTCACTCATCAAACTAGATTTTATCAAGTGTATGTAAAATTGTAAGAGAATTGATATGTCCTGATAGTGAGTGCTAAATTACATGAAATAAAGGTTTAGTGATTCATTTCGATCTCCTTTAATAACTTAACATTACACAATGCTGAATGACATAAACTGATATAACCACATGATAACTTGATTGATAGAATTTGATCAATGTTAAAGTCTAGACAAAAATGAAATTTCTAGAATCACCACAAAAACCGCTTCTGATAATAATCATCTGTTCACTAGTGAATGACTTCAAGAGAAACTCCTGGAGTTCTAGTGAGAAGCCGTTACTAGTGGAGTTCAACCAGGTCTGTTGTGAGATATTAACTCACTGAAGACAATGGTTTACGGTGGGGCAACTTCGTGGATTGGTTGAAGTTAGACATTAACACTGTTGAATGCCGACTCAGTCGTCTAGTTGGTTAAGCGCCTGGTGCTAGACTGATAGATCCTGGGTTCGAATCCCGCGATGCGAGTTCGTGGATGCGCACCGCTGGGGAGTCCCATACTGGGACGAAACGGCCGTCCAGTGCTCCCAGGTTTTGCGTGGTAGTCTAGCTTCAATTGACTCATGATTTCAATCTGTGAAATTTCTAAAATCTCTACAAAAACCCCTTCTGGTAAAAATGATATTGACTATTATTACTACTACTACGTAATGACAAAATAAAGAATAAAATAGTAAAATAGTATTAATGAAGTTAAAAATGTAAATACTTACCAAGAAAATAAACTGGACGATTAACAGGAAAACTTGGATTTCCATTAGCCCATGCAAATTCTTCTACTAATAACGTAAATTGTGATGGATGCTTTTTACGATCAATTAATGGGGAATGTGATATTAATGACTTCAAAGATGTTGATGATGACGACGACCGTTTATTGAATATTTTTGTAGAACGTTTAGAATATTTGTTGGATTTTATATTGTTATTTTCAACTATTGAACTATTTCTCATTAAACTTGATTGATTTTTAATGAATAAATTTTGGGAATATTTCAAGTTTAATTTATCTTTTGAAATATGATTAGTACTTTGACGCATTTGTAATTTTCGATTTGATTTATCTGGACATCTTAATAAAAGATTAACCATTAGATTATCATTTAACCACATTGAACATGATTCAAATACTTTGAATTCATAAGTCTATGAAGACAAGAAAAAAATAATAAGAAAACATTTACGGAAACTTAAGTCGTTAGAGTTTATTTCAAAGAAAATTATATTTTATTATGAAAAGCAAAGAGGCTTACGAAGTATCATAGATCAAGGAATATCGAATAGATCGTTTTAGTTTAAGTTTCTTCATCAGTATATAACTACGATTCTATCTGCTATGTAATACAGGCTATTAAGATCTTGTGGTAATAGCCTGAAGTAATTGATTTGGAATACAGTATCCTATATTTCCAACTTCGGTCATTCCATAGTAACATTCCACATGTAGTTGACACTACAGGATCACGATTTCTTACCAGTACCAACTTCTTTGTTAGTTACTTATGATTACATTATCATTATTAAATTGGGATTGCGTGGAAATTGTTACGTTTGGATTTTTCATTTGTTTTCGAATGGTTGTCGGTCAATGATAACAAATTCCTAGTCATATATTCTCTATAAACCTTCATCCCATTAAGGATGATAACACTTCATAGTTTTCAAGGTTTTTACATTCCCAAAAAACCATCTATTGACTATCTCGTAAATTTGGGTTAACATTTTTCGTACCGAAATTCCTCACAGAAGCTATAACTTAGTTTTACTGTGTTTGAGAAAGCTTCTTTCTTATTAGTCCACGGTTATTGAAGCGTGTTGCTTTTTTAATGCCTAATTCCAAGATCATTGTATATATAACTGCTGCTAGAAACGAAGTAGGAATTTTAGTATTCAGATATCGAAACAAAGCTAGGAGTTATCACCATTATTTCAAGACAAATAAATAGTGAATAAGTTAGATGGATAATCCATTTACTACGAAACCCACATAACATAAATAGGTCTTCGTTAAAGAAGAAATAAGAACAATTCACTCAAGAAAGTTTAATTTTTTGCGATATTATTAACTGGATCTGTATGACCATATTTATAGTTATTCAACACGTATAACAGTCTACTAAAAAATGACTGTATCGTTTAGTGTTCGGAAACGTCATGTATCAGAAGAAAGTTATATGAGTTTCTAACGTACAAAAAATAATAGTAAAATAAAAATAGTTTACGGAACAGAACTATGAGAGATTATCATACACCTGATAGATATAAGGAAGTAATGAAAAACGTGGTGATAATAAAGACTGAATAATAATTATGAAAAATCAGAAGAGGGTAATGACAACTGACCATTGAGTAAGTAAAATTAATAATGGTAAAATGGAAGGTTACATATACTACTTTTACAAACGGAGTTCAGGTTTGAACCTTTGGATTATCAAGGCTTTTATATGCTTCATTCTAGACCAACCCATTTAACTGCAGGGACGATTTTGAAAGATAATGCTAATTGAAAGACGTCACTAGAGTTGATGAGATGTTAATACATTGAGTTGACGATTGATTTTCATTCTTTATTTTAAAAATTGCTCTTATTAATGTTCCAAGATATAATTAGAGAGTGTTGGGTTCGTGCACCCAATATAAGTTTGGACACAAGAACAAGTGAATTTATTGTTGCCCACTGATGTAATCTAGGTCTCAAATGAATGGTATCGTCTGACTGAAAAATTTCTTCACTGTTGTTTTGCTTATTCTTTAATGGCTAAATTACCTCTGTTTAAGAAGATATTTTTCATTATTAAATGGAATGAATTCAGTAACGTAGAAAATAAAGTTGTTTGTTCAATACAATCACTGAAGTACATCTTTACATTTCTAGAAAAAACAGCTGTCCAACGTTTCTTGATTATGTTTAGTAGATTTTCGTTCTAGTAGACTACGTAATGACAGCAAACTGGTCTCCGTTTGGTGTGTGCTACTTATATTGACATAAGTAGTATATGGTGTTAGTCGTGAACAGAAGGTTTGGCAGCAGAGAGACAAGAGGATCGACCAGTAAAGAATGGAAACAGAATGCAATTTGTATGAAGATACAAGAACAATGAAGTCTGGGCCATTTTGGGACAACTGATGGTCATTGTGTAAATTGAGTATTTACTATATGGTTGTTAGATTTTATTAAGATGTTCTGTAATTTCTTGTCGATTGTCCTCACTGGTGTTCTTGTTCACTACATCCGTACTTAGTTAACTCAATGATACTCTTTTTACCGTACATTTGAATGAGCAATTTCTTGAATAGTTCTAAACAGAACATCGACAAACAAGTCTACCCTGCAGAAACAGTAGTGATTCATTGTTAAAAATGTAACGTGTAATTTCAAAAACAGTTTTGTAGTTCACGTAATACTGCCTTGACAAGTTAACATAAACCTATAACCCTTCTCAATGTTAAATCCTTTTTGTATTTTCTACAGTTTATATAAAGTCAATATTGATTGATTTTAACTTGTGGTTTCCTCTGGATAATACTGAAGAGACTGATATGTCCTGGGTTCGAATCTCGTGATGCGGGGTCATGGATGAGCAATGCTGAAGAGTCCCACAATACGACAAAACGGCCGTCCAGTGCTTCCAGGCTTTCCATGATGGTCTAGCTTCAATTGACTCATGATCTCAACTGTTGAAATTACTACAATCTCCACAAAACCCCTTCGAATACTGAAGATATTGACTAAACATCTAATTCATAACACAAAATTATTAAGAATTTTGATTACAATTCAAATGATATAAAATTAACTTACCCACAATATGTAAAGTGATTCTTGGGCACAAACAAAAATAATTTCATCTTTTGGTTTCACTCGAAGAAGTGGTACAGGTTTTGTTTGAAATCTAAATAATCAAAAATATTCATACTAATAATTAAAGGAAAATTATACACAACATTTGTAAAATATGAAAACAACACATTGAATACACCATTTGTACATCTTCCTTGAATCGTCTTTTACAAACTCCATCATTCTCTCATTCTTGTTGGTACTCTAACTGCTTTTTCTTTTCTCTTTCTTCGCCTCATGTTCCTCTTCTGTCAGTAAAAATCTCCCAACTCTCGACACATACTACGTATATATGTTTGTATAAGTATCATACACTATAATAACATAGAATAGGTTTTCTCATTTCCGTGTGTAAACACCAAATATCGTACAGCCTTATAAATTTTTCATCATTTAACTTAATCTTTTTGATCAATTGATCAAGACACCTTTTTTCTTTGATTAATTATACATTAAAAGTAAATAAGATTTATCGATAAATCATGCTTCTTTGTACTGGTTAAAGTAATCAGTTTTTTCATGAAATTTGATTTTTAGAAAAACAATGATATTTAGATTATGTCTAGTAGTAGGATCTGGGACTAGTCAGCTCGGTGTACTTGAATCAAACTGTTGATACTCATACTGAGAGTGCATACTAGTACACATCGCTTAAAACGCTGCCAAGTTATCCTCATTGTGAAATACCGGAAAATGCAGACTTGCAGATAATTTAATGCACGCTGAACAAGTTAGTTGTTTTACAGAATCAAGGTCATAGTGTATAGAGCGTAGATATTCAAAGTAATAGGTACCAGGTTCGATCATCAGTATGAGCATTAACATAGAGATCTAAGTATATCTGCGTAAGGTGTTCTCGATAGGGCTGGGTGCTTGACCTTGATTCTACTGGTAACCAGAATCTAAATGTGTTAAAACTTGTAGCTAAACGGTTATGTTTAGACGAACCGACTAATATGCCGAAATACCAATAGATAGTAGTTAGTTACAGTCCTTAATACCAAGAACTGAAAAATACAAACCCTTACAAGTAATCTTATAAATAAACAAATAACCATTACTAAATGGATCATTTTTGTCTAATGTATATGCTAAGTGAGCGACAGAGGTTTTTCAGCATAATTGTCAAGAAGTTTATAGCCTACGTAGACGCCCAACTTTGAGACCAACAGGCCGGATTCCGTAAGGATAGATCGTGTATAGACCAAATCGGAACACTACGGATCATTGTGGAACAATCAATTGAATGTAATTCATCACTCTTCATCAACTTTATTGACTACGAAAAAGCATTTGATAGCATGAACAGAACAACACTATGGAAGCTTTTTCGACACTATGGCGTGCCTCAGGAGATAGTCAATATCATACGGAACTCCTATGATGAATTACACTGCGAAATCGTTCATGGAGGACAGCTCACAGACTCATGCGAAGTAAAGATCGATGTCATGCCAAGTCGCTTACTCTCACTCTTCCTCTTTCTCCTGGTGAATAACTGGATCATGAAGACTTCAAAACCTAGGGGGTGGGTGGGAGTAATGGATACAGTAGACAGCTAGGGTGCAGCTGGATGATCTAGACATCCCAGATTATCTGGCTCTTCTATCGCATACGCGACAACAAATGCAGGCGAAGACGACCAGTGTAGCAGCAGTCTCAGCAGCAGTAGGTCAAAGCATACACCGAGAGGAAAGCAAGATTATCCGATACAACACAATATACACCAATCAAATCACACTTAATGGAGAAGATTTTGAAGATGTAATAACCTTTGCATATTTGGGCAGCATCACTGATGAACACGGTGTATCTGATGCAGATGTGAAGGCGCGGAGCGGCGGAGCAAGAGCAGCATATTTACAACTGAAGAATATCTGGAACTCAAAAGGACTGTCTGTCAACCAACACCAAGGTCAGAATTTTCAATACAAATGTCAAGACAGTTCTACTGTATGGGGCGGAAACCTGGAGAACTACGAAAGCAATCATCCAGGAAATACAAGTGTTTATTAACAGTTGTCTACACAAAATACTTCAGATCCGTTGGCCAGACACTATGAGAAACAACCTACTATGGGAAAGAACAAACTAGATCCAAGTGGGGGAAGAAATTAGGAAGAAGTGCTGGAAGTGGATAGGACAAACATTGAGAAAAACACTTAACGAAGTCACAAGACAAGACCTCATATGGAATCCTGAAGGCCAAGGTAGGAGAGGAAGACTAAAGAACACATTACGCCGGGAAACGGAGATACGCATGAGAAAAATGAACAAGAATTGGATGGAACTAGAAAAGAAGGCTCAGGACAGAGTGGGTTGGAGAATGCTGGTCGGCGGCCTATGCCCCATTAGGAGTAACAGGCGTAAGTAAGTAAGTTATAGCTCGAACTCTCAACCTATTCACCGGATATAAATACCTATTATTTAGATATGTTCTAAAAATGCAAAACTGTTATGTAAGGCGATGAAAAAATAAAACAACAACAAAAATGAAACGTATGACTTTTGAAGTTGTTGTAAACAATGAAACTGAATATAGACAACTATATTTGTACGAATTAAACGTATTTGTAGTGAAAATATTAAATTATGTTTCTTAACTTTTATTTAGTAAGATTATATAAACCAAGTATTTATGAATATGTCTATATGATAGAAAGATACTTAGTATTATTCTTTCAATAATATTTCATTATACTCAAATAGAATTCAAATTTGTTTAACATTAGAATTGAAGTTCTCTTTATAAAAAATTAAATACAATCTGTTCTTATCATATAATAATCCTTGTTTTAAGTCATATTGAAATGACACGCAAAAGATGCATTATTTAAATTACATTTAGAAGAAATATAATTGTCATTATTTGTGGATTTCTATATGTTAGATATATAGAGAAATACTATTTTTATTACTATTACGATTACTATTATTACTACCAGTAATACTAATACTACTCCCATTGATAATTTTATTATTAGTAGTATTGTTATCATTATTATAAAAAAAAATAACTAAAATGTCAAAGTAACCTAAAACTTTTCCCCCTTGAAATAAAAAAAACCCAACTCACAACAACAAACATTCCGAGTTCTTGTAATGTTACTAGTGTTGCTTTATTATTATTATTATTATTATTATTATTATTATTATTATTATTTATTCCCAACTTATACCTCACCAAATTCTTTCATGATCAACTAACCATCACTAAATTTGCATATTTTCAAAAGTTGTTATTTTAATTTTCTTTTTTTTTAAAGTGGAGAAAATTAAATGTCGAAACTGGTGTTGCATAACTACTATTGCAGGAGAGGGCAAGAGAGAGAGAGAGAAAGGGAGTGGGAAGGAGCGTTGAGAATAAAAAATAAACAAACTTATTTATGAACTAAAGGGAATATAATAAAACAATAATTGATAAACATCAGATTAGCGTGTATTGAATATTTAATCTTTTTCTTTACAAAAAAATAGTAACACAAATAATGTAAGAAGGAATATACTATTTTTTTGTTTATTGAAACAAAACAATTAATGAAAAGAAAAGTAGACAACAAAAAACTTTTAAAGAAAACAGTTAGTGAAATATACAAAAGAATAAAGAACAACCTGATAGAGAACATAAAACATATAGACATGATGAGAAAGAGGAAGACAAATGTGGGGGGAGGGAGTGAAAGACAGTGAGAGATCGAGGAAGAATAAGTCAACAATATACTCAGTAGTTATTACTTATTGTGATTTATATATTTGATTTTTGTAAATGTAATTTATTATTATTTTTTTTAAAAAAAATAATAACACAACTACATATATATTTTGATATAATGTTTAGTGATGGTAGGCAAACTGAAGAGGGTATTTATGATGTTCGGTATTAGAGTTTATTAAGTCTACACATATACAATGTGTAATAATTATATAAAAAAAAGAAAATTACACAACTAAGGGAAAATAAGCAATAAACGGGAGAAGGGAAAAGTAATATGCATATGAATGAAAATGAGATGTTATTCTGTAGATTGAATATTCAAACGAAACACTATTCTGTTCATGATACTTAAACATGACAATGATTAATGTTTAATTATTTTGAATGATAAGAATTATTTACAGTTTTTGAATAGTGAATAATAAAATTGGTTAAATGTATAGTTGAGATAAGATGGTGATAGTCAACAAGAAATCCTAGGCCTAGGTTTCTTGCTACATGGTACTAGTTAGCAAGGTGTACCTGTAATCTTGAGTGAACTGATGCTCCCTGATGGATTCGATTCCGTGTCATCCATCTTCATAGTCAGAGACGTTACAACTGAGCTATCCTGGCTGCGACTGAGCTCTTGTAGGAACGAGATAATTGATTGATCACTAGGTGATGATCAATGTCATGTATGTCATTTCTTTCCTAGTAAAAATCGAATCCTATCAACCAAGTTGCGATGTGGCCACTAGTCTAGGTGACTTGAAATTGCATGCACTATGTTTTGATCATTAGAAATTGGGTAAAATATGAAATCCACAACCTCCAATCATTCATATTTCAAGTAGTTTTTAGTGATGGTGTTTTATATTTCGCTTTTGGTATATAAATGTTTGTTATTCTGTCGTGCTGGGTTTAATAACAACTCATTTAAAGACTTATGTCGATAATTTGTTGTTACTAACAATTACTAATTGCCCCTATTGTAATAATAGGCATCATCTATCAATGAATATTTAAATGATTGATTTCAACAAACTAAACTCTACTCACTTCAATAAGAACGTTATGTTAAACAAATCTTACAATATCTATAAAAAGAGGAAGTCGAACCTAGAACTTTTTAACTTAACATGCAGATGGTTTCCAACCAAATATTTGAAAAAAAGCGAGAATACCAATGCTTGTCGAGTTTACTATGAATCTTGTTGTTTTATACCTAATAATTTACAAACTTATAAGCTTAATTTTAGTGAACTAATCAAGTAAAGATTAAAATTGTTCATCAGAGAAAGTAAATTGTTTGGAATACAAAATTGAAATATGGTTTAAATAGATGAGCTTAAAGA